GATAGGGCTATTTTTTTCCATATATTAGCAATATAGTGGAGTGTCCTTTCTGGTCTAACAGGCAAAAAGCGAGAAATTCCTTTGATGTATTGACATCTTTGTACCTTCGTTACTGAAGATACAAAATGTTCATTTATTTCCTCAGGGAGCATTCTTTCTCATAATATTTTTCTTTCCCCTTATCATAGATATCTTATCGCATGCGCATACATCTATACATGGCAGATTAATATGGAGAACTGACAACCGATAAGATAGATTTGAAATAAGCATATGGCATATTACGAAGGACTCTTCCTAAAGCCGGCAGTACGGGTCCGTGCTGTGATCCTTAAAATAATTAGTTGTCTTATTTCTCTATAACTCTACGATAAATTATTGATAATTCTGTAAATTCACGGCTCTGTTCACGACGGAATAATTTTTTTACAATAGGAATCTATACTATAATATATCATGGTCATGGATGTGATTCTATAGAAAACAGCTGTCTACTCTGGTTATAAAGAATCCTAGCATACATAAATGAAGTGACGATTCAATTGTAATAATTGATTGTCTGGGTAAGATTACAATCTTGATATATTATTGTTGCAAGTAAGTAGTTATTTAGATCTATATTAATGATAACGTGGTCCAGCAATAGTTACAGATATGTAGATACATATATAAATGGATCCATATACTTATTAGGATTTTCTATTATTCCAACATAAAATTACGAGTCTCTGTGTAAAATAAAGACAAGAGGGTTCGTGGTATTAATGAACATTTTGTACTTTGATATCAGTGGTTATCACAATATGATAAATTCCTCTATGCATCATACCTAATATCATAAAGGATTCCATAATTTATAACAGCAGCAGTTCTAATTCTTTGTCTGCAGTAATAATTATATTCATCTCTGTTGTTCCTATGCCTCTCACCTCAAGACAAAAGATAATTGGGGAAAAGTAATATGTACATATAAATTGTATGGGGCAAAGAATTCTCATACAGAAAGGAAAGAATGATCTTATTATAAACATCTTCATCTTCTGACTGCTGAGCACGCATCTGAAATGTTATATTACAGTCAGCTTTAGTATTGAATCCTATATTATAAATTTATCGAAGCAGAGAAAATTTACCAATCAACAAGAATCATTCTGTATTACTATGATTGTTTTAATATAAGACGATGAAAGATTAATTCCCAAAGTAGGTTGCCTCTACTTATCTAATAACTGGGGTGTCCTCCTGAAGGATTAAGAGATAGAATACAAAAGCATGAACATACGAATACTCGAAGGGGAAAAAGTCATTGCAATAACATAGAAAGAAGATATATATGTAGAGTAAGTTATAGAGGGTAGTGTATTATTATTGACACCTCACCTGATGCATTAATACATTTCCCACTGCCCCAACGAGTGCCTGGTTGCCGATTCTGTATCAAAACTCCTCCCATGGCCCCTTAATCCCCCCCCCACGCCTTGTCCCTCCTGAAATCCGTCCCATGTTTCACTACTGTATATTAAGGCTCCCCTTCTTATGCCTGTCATGCGAGAAAATACTTCCTCTCTTGCCCTCGTGCGAACTTCCCTCCTTAAATATAACCCTAGCCCCCCTCCGTAGCTTATACCAAACAGGCCATAAATATACACGACAACCCCCATTATTCCTAACACCCCTACGGTCACTGCGCCTGGCATCCCTGTTACAGTACTCTCGACCTCTGTCTCTCCCTTGGGGGGGTGCTGTTTGGTGTCCCCTTTGTGTAGTTTCCCCTGCCTCACTCGGCGTTCTCCTTTTCCGTGATACAGCTCCCTCCGCCACGGGCTCGCTTCCCCAAAATCCCTTATTTATGTTTCCTGCTTCGAAACGTGTTGGACCCTTGTTGTTTTCCTGACTCTGTGGATATCAAACGCGGTCTCGAATCTTACTCCTCCTACGGCCACCTATTCGAATGCGCCCAGGATGCCAGGGATTCGCATCTCTCAATTTCCTCCTCTTGAATTTTTTCGGCTACTTTTTTGGCCCCAAGCTCGCCTTTGTGGTGGCCCCGGGAATCTACTAGATCCTCTCCCTTTTCTCCTCTTGATAAAACCCTGGGCCCCGCTTCTGGACCCCTGAGGAACTCCGGTAGCTTCGTATAATTGGTGTCCTGATCCTTCCCGCCTTGTCCTTAGAAACGAACTCCACTTAAGAATTATTTCCTACCCCTGCTGCACTTTGCCTCACTGTCCCTTGTCACGCCTCGATGCTGATCCCTCTAATTATGATACGTATTCTGCCTTCCCCGTCTGGGCTCCGTTTACGCCCACTCGATTGGGTTCCCCTCGAGGCTATGGCTTCCTGCTCTCGCTACTGCTGTCCCACTCTGTCATTTGGCTCCTTCAGGTTCCCCTTCCTCCTGCTCCCCTCACTATTATTGGGCTGTATTGACCTCCTCATACTGCCTGTCAGATAATAAGGACTTGGGCGCTGCTTCCTTCGTTCCTCATATTCATCCGCCTGCTGTTCTAGTGAGTCCTCGTTCTGCGCCTACTGGGGCCGTACCTTCTCGCAGCTGCCGCACCTGATATACTCGGAACTCCTATGATGACTTGTTCCTGTGGGAAACGACATCATCTGCTGAAAGAAGTCTCTTTCTTATCTCGCTCACTATCTCTGGTGGCATCTGGACTCTCCTTCAATTGTTCATATGAACCATACCTCATCATATTAGGCACTGGATCCTCCTCCCTAACTCGTCCGTCACCCTTCCGTACCCTCTATATCGCTTGGATATGAACGTTCCTTGTCCTGCCCCCCTTATTACTGTTTCCACTTGGGGGGGTAGTATGCTCCAGCTGCTTTTCCTGATATCATTTATCTCTCATATATGACATACTGCTCCACCTCTAGAATAGTACGCTTCTCCTTCCCGATTCCCCCCTCGTACCCTTGCATATGACGGTATCTCGTGTGCTGCTCCAGTTATATTCGTCACGTTCGTAATTTCACGCAGATACTCCTTTGTGTTCATGAAGTATTCTTGTTTGTGTGCTCTTGCTTTGCATCCATATGGCCTTGGGGGTGTTTGGGGGTGGGTGGTGGTGGTGGGTTCTCTGTAACCCGCTGTTTTGGAAATCTGCTCCTTGGGGACCATAACGACCTGGGAAATTCATCATCTTGATTGATAGTTGTTTCTTCGTTCCTAAGGATCTTTGTTGTCCTCGATTGACTTGTTACCCTGTGGGGGTTCACTCGGTTTTATGTGTCCTGGAATTCAGGTAGTAGCGGCATGGCTTCCCTGTGGGGGGGTTCCTGGGTTTGCTTTGGCTTTGTGCACTTCGAATGATTCTATCTGTGCCTTGGGCTTAGTTAACTTTTCTGAGTCCCTGCAGGTAGGGTGTTTTGGGTTTATTCGTGTCTTCTTTTAGAGTTGGTAATTGTGGTTTATTATGCCTCTGTTGACTGGTACGATTCAATGCTTTGGTTACTCTTTTCCTTTGCCTTGGGGTGGCCTCTTGACTCGTCCCTTCAATTCTGCCTGCCCTCTTCCTGGCGATCGGACAGGATGGTTCAGACTGCTGTCTGGTTGGGTTGTCATGCAGCGCCTCAAGTGTGCCTTCCGAAATCTATTTGTCCCTGATTTCAGTTGGCGGAACTGGAAATCTGAGGTCGGGGCGACTGTGTTCTCATCTTTTGTCACCTGCCGTTTCTTAGTCTACTGCTCTTTTCTTTCACTTGAAGGTTGTTTCTCCGCTGTTGTTTGCTTTTCCGTCCTGCGCCTGGTTTTTACCAGGGGTCCTTCTTGTCTATAGCTCTTCCTCTGTTTATAGCCCGCCCGATTTTTCCGCGTCCTGTTCTCCTGTTTGTTGGGTTTCCCATTTTTGCAGTGACCTGTGGGAGGTCCCATTTCTTCGGTGGGCGTTTGTCCAGTTTCTGCCGTGTGTTTGCGGTGTCCTCGAAAGGCTGTTGCTCTGCACCCTTGTCATCTATCCCCTCGTGTTGGCCCCGCTTCCCTGCGACTTGGTCCTGGTCATGCTGGTGTATATTGTGCCTGCCGGTGTTGTTGTTATTTCCACCGTTTCTTTGCCGGAATCTCTGATGTTTTGTGCTGGAGTGCGGTTATGGAGTTCAGCAATATTGCCTGACTCACACTTTTGCATTCTTCCCTTTAGTTTTATTATATCTTCTGTGTTGATATTTCCTCTTTCCTCCCGTTTTCCCTACTGTCAGCTGTTTCACCACCGGTTTTATCTGGGTTTCTTCGGTTGCGTGTTCTGGGATTCTTCCGGCCATAGGTACCCCTGGTGGTTACTAGGTGTCCTGAGGCTGTACTTGACGTGTAACTGTTTGCATCTGTTGTGACCTCGTCCTTCTGGTCATGTTTCTGAATTAGATGTGGTTTTGGTACCGGTTTGATGCGGTTCCCTTTGTTTTCCTCTAGGGGTTTGGGTTTTTTTTATGTTTGGTGTGTTGGCATATATTATAGGTTCTGGCGTATAGGCTATTATTTGTGTCTTTCTCGGGGAATTCTATTCAATTTTTTCCTCTAGTGGTTCTGTGTCACCCTCTGGGCCTCGAAATGTACGGGTTGTTCTGTCTAATAACATTCTGTCCAGGAGTTTTGGATAGTTTCGTCCTCTATGGACTCTGCTTGACTGCTCCTTCGTATTTATTCTGCTCTGTTCACAAACACACGGTCCCCGATGGCGTATGGGAGATGAGATTCCGGATAGTCCTCTTGTAGGCTCCTTCTTCTTTGGCGGGCATTCTCGCATCCGTCCTGTGGTTCTTATTATTCTTTGTTATACGTCTCTAGTTTTCACTATTTCGCTGTCCTTGGAAGGTTTGGATTAAGATATTCTCCCTCTTCTTGGATATTTTGCTTTTGGTTACGGTGCTCTGATTTATCCTTGGCGTCTTCCTTTATTACACCAGCGGGACGGCCTCTTCCTGGAATTGTTTGGCCCACTTCTGGGATTCCTCTCTTTTTTAGTTCTATGTTCTTCTCCTCTTCATCTTTCCCCCTTGTTGGCTGTATTTTTCCGTTTCCTTCACGGTTTCCGAACTCTGGCTTCCTGGCACTTTAATGGGGTGCCACTGTTGCTTCAGGGGGTTCCTTTTCGGGTTTCTATCTTCTTCTGGATTCTTCCTGGGGATGTCCGCCGGTTTGACGCTGCCCCTCTTATCCCTGACTTTTCCTCTGCTTCCCAGTAAATTTATATTTTTTATTCGGTGTCCAGTTGTATGGCATCCTTCTGGTTTCAGCGGTTTCGCTGCCTCGTTGCCCCATATGCTTATTTGTCTATTCGGTTTCATTGGGGAGCCGCCTATCAGTGGAGGTTGCCTATTCTTCCCTATTTCTTCCTGGGGAGTCCAGAGACATGGGCTTGAGTTTCTTTGCATAACCTTCCTTTGCCATTTATCCTTACGCTGGTTCTACATTCCCCTGTGCTGGTGTTGCTCATCTTCCTCTCGCTCTTGGCCTGTTGCTTCCTAGAAGTGAACATTACTGCTGTTTTTGTTGTTGGGCGTGCTTTTGTTTTGGGTTTCGTCTTCTTGGTCTCCCTGTCTCAGTCGGTACAACATTCCTCATTACTGATACCAGTCTCTTTTCTCTGATTCCTGCCTCCCGCTTGTCTGGCATTCTATTCCTCCCTGTGCTTAAACCCTCTTGCCCCATCCGCGCTCGGGGATATCTTGGTCCTGTCGTAGATCCTTCCCCTCTATACATTTCCTTTGGCTTTCCGTCTGAGAGGAATTTGAGGTAATCTTCCCTGTCCAGACTGCTTTTAGGTGCGTTCAATGTGTTCCTTGGGCTTTGTATACCTCCTGGGTCTGCCCCAGAGTCAATTCTTTTCCGCTTGGTGTCAAGTTCCTGCTTCTGGGGTTAGTCAGTTCCCCTTAGCTCCTTCCCCCCCTTCTGCTTTGCTGTTGGCTATTCTGCTTTCCCCTTTTTCGTTTATTCTGTTGTTATGCCGATGTATCTCTTTTTTCTAGCGTCCTAGTACCTTGGTTTCTTTGCTGTATACTTCTGTAGACATTAGCTGCTAAAGTTTCTCCTTAAGGCGCTAACAATTTGCCTTCTGTTGATTTTTGTTGGTCACTATTTCGGGCTTTTTCATTCTGGTCAGCCTGTTTAGGCCTTGTTTGCCCCTAAAGCTTGCTTTGGGGGGGCTCAATCCTCTCCTGGTTGTCCAATTCTTTTTGTCTTCTTGCGGATTTGGGTTTGTTCTCCTGTATACTGGTCCCCTTTCAGGCTTCATAAGTTGTCACTGGTGCTGCTCCTTCTTTGGCCCCCTTGTTGCTGTGTACTGGCTGTTCGGTAGAACATCTAGGCGTCTAGGGCCTGTACCTGTCTTGGTTCCTTTCCAGGTTAGTTTTCTTCTTTTTATTAGTGTGGTGGCATGTGGGGGGGTTATTTTCTCGCGTTATTTGTTTCTAGTAGCTTTGTTGCAGTTTCCTGGGGTCACTCATACTTTTATGGTGTCTGGAGGCTCCTTGTTCTGCTTCCTCGGTTTCCTGATTGGATGGTTATTGTGGCGTACTGGGCACTTTTCCTGTGTTTTTCTCCTCTTCCTTCTACCTCCTTGTTATACGGGGGTTATCTATCTTCTTGGGAATTTATCCGTGGGCTGGATGTGGTATTTTCTGCTATTTCTTCGTCTTAGTTTCTCTTGTTTTCTGTTGCTGTTGAACTCATGCTTGTTATGGGTGTTGGATCCTGGGGGGGGTTAACTGTCTCGTTCTTCCTTTTAAACCTCTGTTGCCTCCTCTTCTCTTGGTGTCTTCGACTGTTAGAATTCTTGAGGCGGCCGTCATAATGTTATCTGAAATCTGTGGATTCAGATGCAGCGGAACTCGGCCTTGTTTTTTCGTGTCTGTTTCACCTGGGTTGAGGTTTCCCCTAGCTCGCCATGCTTCTGTAGTGTTTTGCTGTAGTTGGGACCCCCCTTCTCCTTTTTTTAATTACTGAGATCCTGTTTCTTGATAAATATTACTTCGCCTCCTTAAGCTTCGGATGGTGGGTGTCCTATTATTCCTTTGCCTTCTGCTGTAAAGCTCTGCGGAAGTTTGGGCCCTCTGGGAATCCTTTTGTTGTTTTTCCCAGTTTTTGTTCGTAAACTACTTGGGTACTTTACTGAATGCTGTTTGTCCTATTCCCTATATATCTTCGTGTCTAGCCGATTGCATCATCCTCCTGTTCCTGCTGTTACTGTGGTCCGGTTGCGTGGAGTCCCATCCCTCTTTCCCTGTTCATTTCTGTTTCTTTTATTTGTTCTTTGGGTGGCCCCTTTTTTTGGGCTGCCAGGAGGTACTTGATTTTCGTGTTATATTCCTCTGACATTTTTTCTACTCTTCATTATTATGTGATATCATCCTTTAGTTCCAATACTATTGTTCTGCCTACTTCTCTGCCACTTCTGAACAGTTATTAACACACTAACTCCTCATTACCCTCATTCTTGGGGTGCTCTGGTGTTTTCTTATTCTTTCTCTGGGTGTATCCGCTGAATTTTCTGGGGTTCCGTTTTAGCCTCCCCTGTCGCTCCTATTCGGTGCTGTCGGAGTGTTGATGCTGCGGTTTCGAATATAATTCTAGCCTATCCTCGCTTCTGTTGCCTGTGCTGTTTTCGGCCTTTGTCGTATTCTAAAATGCATCTGCTTCCCTACCTTATCTTTATATGCAAGTATTCCAGTTGCACCCTCCTGTCTTTGTTCGTGACTAATTACACGTGTTCGGCTGCCGTGTCCATTGGGTCTTGTTTTCCCCTTTATAAAGCACTCGCCTTTGCTCATAAATAATTCTTTCCTTCTTATTTCTTTATACATATTTGTCTGGCCTGTAGGTTTTCTCATTACTTCTTTCGTTGTGTTGTCATTTTAGTTTTGTCCCCCTTCGTGACGCTTAGCACATATTTTCGCCCCTAGCCTTTTACTTATTTTATTTTCCATCTATTACATAAGTCTCTTATAGACATGTAGATTGTCTCACTTTTACAATTAAGACTTATTTATTAAGGGCAACTTCTATGGTATCTACTAGTTCTATTATTTCTTGCGAGTTACTCTTATGAATAATGCGATTCCTAGGGAGGCAGTTATCGTTCCTCTGGTAGATTTATAGTAATCGGCTATTGCTTACTAGTTCTATCAATAGATTATAGTACATCTTATCCTACTATTTTGTCGTTTCGTATTTAGGATAAATGGAGATAATAGGATATATTCTGTGAACCTATTATTAATAGTGAGTACTTTAGCTCATCAATAATTTTTCATTCTGAAATATTAGAGTATCAATATACCCATTCGTATACTCTTCCTAATCTTTATTCCAATATCCTACTGTTAACCACGTGTTTGATTACTCAATAGTGCTCCTAACGTGTACTTGGGTTCTGTTAATATTCTTCTCCTGTTGTTCCTTAATTTTTTTACATTTTTTCCATCCTATTTATACGGCAGACATCTGTAATAAGCTTTAGCACATGAATTATAGGTTTAGAGCTCGTTTTATAGATTAAATGCTACACAACTATATCATATGTGAGACCGCCTACTCTAAAAACCAGACGCAATAAGGATATATAACAGCTTATTATGCCACACCGCCCAGTCTTAACTCAAGGATGCTGTATAAATTCTTAAAAGAATTTTCCCATGGGAATATTATCTTTGTTGTGTACCCTTCTTAACTCTTCTGGTTGCTTCTTATTAATTTTCATGTATAATCACGCGTCGAGTTCATTATTATTCATGAGTACCGTTTAATTCTATCCCAGCTGGAATAACGAGTATCCGTTCAAAATAATGAGAAGTATGCTCACATTGCTTAGACCTAGTTCAACTGACAATATTAGGATTAATTCTATTACGTGTTGTTTGATATTAACAGGAAACACAGTAATTGAAATTCAGAAACTCTCCTGCTGTTTCGTCGAATCATTCGGAATATATAGCACAATTCTCTTAAAATCAACAGGAAGACATTAACTCATTCTACTGATTGGTTATACGATCCTCACTCTTTAATATAATATACATTAATTCATAAGAGTCATATCCACTTTTCCTCTATATCAGATTTCCTGTTTGGACGTGATGTAATATTGCACATTATTCCTTATGCAAGAATTTCTTTACGATTGTTAATTATCTCTTAATAACCCAGAGAAGGAAATATATTGAGAGATGGTTTATATATATACAATCACTATTATCGTCTTCAGAAACCGCAATTGTTCATAATCAGCATCTCTGGAACAAATAGTATTATCACAAATGTTTAATATGTGCGATCAATAAAGGAAAAATGGATACACACTAGTTAACACATAAACGAAGCTCAGTGTGTTAAACCCATAGCAACAATTACTCAAGTATAACAATCCTGATTCTTTATTCTTATTCATTAATCTTTTTTATGCATACTCTTAAAACGAAACATATTTAGTAAAACACTAAGTGTCTGTTCCTTCCTGGATTTTCCCCTTCTTTTTCTTATGCAATAATTCCTAACATATTAACAGCCGTATACACTTGTTTTTAATTCAAATTACCAAGTTTATGCTTATTACCGTACTTTTTAACTAATTTAATTACTTTCGGCACAGTTTTGTATAAGGAATAACTCATAATAATATCCTGTTCAGATCTATCTAGAAATAACATAAGCACTCTCTTGATTACTGACGATTATTATTTTTCTTTTAATATATGCATCATGAAAAACTTGAATCTTAATTTAGTATATGAGAGATGCAGGAATTGCATAGATATGAAGGTGCATACCACTGACTCTATCAATATGTGATAAATATACATAAGGATTAAGTGAGTTGTGTACATCTTCTGTAATACTTTATAATACTTCGTGTTGGAACCTATTTTGTGAAACTTCTTTTTTTTCTATTAATGCCACAAATCTGAAAAGACTAATTTAATGACATGATTCTTTTTTTTCCTACTTGGGGTTGCTACACACTTAGCACTGGAGATTTCAATGATATGCAGATAGGACATTGGGAAAATGTCCTTCCCTATGTAACAACTTTATAATTCTTCTAAATAATAGAGTACACTTATCCTGCAGCATATTCAAGTCTATGAACATGAAATAATGTATTCATTACTGTATAATATGAATTTTTCCTGTTTCGGTTAGAATTGTCCCATATTTGTCCTCATAAATAGAGTTTGGTACAATATAAGAGATATAACAATATAAACATTCATACAGGACTAATTCTAATATTTATAATGATGCCTTTACCTAATACGGATTATGCTATAGCAAATATATTTGGTTCTTCCTGTTTATTGCTCAAAAAGAGGACGTATAATGTCTGATATCCCCTTGTTCGACTCCAGTATTCGAAATATTAGCGGAAATATACAAGTGAATAAAAAAATAATTGGAAACAATCCAAATTGTGACTATACCCATAATATCATGAACTCTTTTTGTAATATGAGTCCTTGTTGTGCAATGAATTGTAAAGAAAGAAAGAGATAGCGACCAATACACTCATTAGGATACTGTCAAAAGTTAAAATGACAAAAAAAGAGGCAACCTAAGGATTAAAGAGGAGAAAAATCATTCCCTAGGACGTGAAGAAAATAAGTAAGAGACATATACGCCTCAGTAACATTCTTACACTGTTCTTTTAGTTTAATCCATAAATACGTGACATATTAAAGATATAACATACTTTTTATGATTATAAATTTTGAATAAAGAAGAATACCTTCAATACATTAATTACACTCTGTATGAGTCAATCTCTGAAGGCATAAATGGTATAATAATGACGACATATGGGCACGGCATGTGTCGATAAAAATTTTGATGAATGGATAAACTGGGGATATTGCACATTCTTAGGCCGACAACTAAAACTGTCCTTTGCTTCAATGTTATAGATATATATAGTATCGCATTGAAGATGAGCACACCATAACGGAGGATATCATGGGTGCGAGAGGTTAGAATATACCTGTCATGTACTGTCAAGTATAAGATAAGATAAAACCCATGAAGCATATGACAGGACGTAGCCAGTATAGCTGCTAACAATGTGCACCAATATGGAAGCCGAGTCAATTTATTTCTAATCCTTAGATTTCGCAATTCATGAGGATATGACTAATTGCATATTTTATGGTCTAGGAATATCAGTAGGGTTGTAGAATGGTAAAATAAATTTCGAATTATAGGGAAGGCAACGTATTTGCAGATATAGTGCAGTTGAGGCCGATTTATGCTCGATGAAAACTTTCAATTTAAAGTAATATAGTGGTGACTGGAGAATAAATTCAGTCAAATGCGAATATCATTTGCCAATAACCCTTTAAAAGAACATAGAATCAGGTCAAATTAGAATTCCCGTACCTGTCTTAAGTGTAGCGTGACTCCGGCAAATGTGCTCCTCTTCTTTTGCACCTATCTCCTGATTGGCTCAAAGCCTATGTGTAGGATCTGCATTTTTGTATTTTTTTCTACAATCTCTTTTTTCTTTTTTTTGCGTTCTTCTTTAAGTTTCATTTTAGGTAGGAATATTTGTTAATTCCTTCTTCTTTCATTCTGAGTCAAATCCGTCCCTGTTAATATTACATATAATTTTGTTCCTGTGCCGCATCTCTCTTTAACCAAATGAGTTACGCGCGACTGGTAAAGAAGAAACCGTGGAATATGTACAACACACTTCCGCAGTTTATCGGCGCATTATGTGATTAACAGCGCGGATAAGCTGATTGATTAAATTCTGATGAGTCTCTCTACTGCCAAAATAATCTTATATATATACAGGTGGAACACTTTTCCAATTTAAAAAATTACTTTTACCCTCTCTTTGCTGATAATCACGAAAGAAATAGAAAAAAAAAAAGTCAAATTCATGGGAGTAGAGCAATCCAAAAAATTTCAATCCCCATGTGTAAAATCAGTCCAACGGGGAATACACAAGAAAAAACAAAACTTCCATGACAAACCTTCGACTATTAGTGAACCATCTGGTCAAGATAGATACCCCTATAATTACGATGTCAAATGCGACAACAGGGAAAACGTCACAGTAAGTGTAAGAACTCCGAATATGGTTACTTCCCCATAATTTACAATAAGACATGTCTATATTTTTACAAAAACAAGATAGATTTTAAAAAAATTGATTAAAATTAAAAAGAAAAGTTAATCCATTTTAAATGATTATATCCCTTCATGTATAAAATCAGAAACGGATATCATACGACATTACGTCCCAGTGCAACAAATAAAAGTGTAGATTCCGTAATTCACGGAATGCTGCCAATATAAAGAAAAGAGAGTTCACCATAGCAATTAATATATGTAACCAGTTCTATACTTACATATATTTTTCCCTACTTGCGAATAATCGGGTATACTTTAAAAAAGATGGAGGTTCGCAATCAGCTCTTCTCTTATCTGATGGGGAATTAGCCCCTGTCAAAATTTCCTCAGATATGGCACTGGAAGTGTTCTCCACCGTTTCCACTTTGCCTTTCTGGCGTGGATTCCTCTCCTGTGAAGATTTCCTTAGGTACTGTTCTCCGTTAAGTTGCTTTCGTCTCGCTTCGTCACATGTTATTACTCCCCTCTGCATGCTCCCCTTGAGCTCCATGTTCACGCTTCGTCATACTACTAAGTCATGCATATGCCTCTACTATATATATTTCTTTCCCCTTCGAATTGGAAAATTGCGCCAGGTGTCAGAGTGCCCTCAATGTGTAAACTGCATTACGGTCAGTCCTGTTACTTCATTTTTTTCCTTTTCTTTCCCTAAACTAATCATCCGTCATTATCTTATGGATATTCGTATCCTCCTCCTAAACCTATTCCTGCAACACCAATGTCATCACCACCATTGATATTCCAGGAACGACCAATCTTTTCATAAAATAGTACTCCGGGGAAATCTTTGCACTTTATAGAAGGCTATTACAGATTCATCAGCAGACTTCACACAACTGTGATGTTTTGGTAATGGAGCTCAGACCTTAACCTCTTGAAAATAAAGGCTTTGACCATGAACACACATCCCTAAAGTGTGCATAACGATTGTTTCTAAATAACAGAATCACAGGTTCACAATCGTCCCCATAACAATATTCAGGACAAGTATGTTTCGTTCACAAAGCGGTACTGCACGTATATCTGTAGGGTTCACAGAATAGTCCTCTCTCTCTAGAAGCACTACAGTTACGTCAAAACACGCTCAAATGACAATACCCACGGGCCATTAATACACTAATGATAAGGCTTTCATTGGTACATCAGCACTCTCTAAATTACACCATTCAAGTGACAGTGTAGTCTTTAAATTATAGTACTCCTATCACATGGATGTTTCATAAAGAGCAGTACTCTACGCTAATGGATACATTTCACAGACTTCTGCTGCTAATATAACAGTCCTAGGCAGCACAGCATACCCGTGGTACCTGTGTACGGTTCACATATCAATGCTGCGGGTCATTTGTTCCATTTACAGAAATGCGCTGCGCATCATTGGTACATCTCCCAAAACTGTAAGTCTCAGCAAGGGGAAGTCTTCATCTAATAGTGTTCCACAAACACTAGAATTCCTGACTGTGTGGTGTCGTTCGAACTATTGTAATCGAGAAGTGAATTTTTCAACCTTTCATATAACACACTCCAGGGACACGCGCACTCTCAATACTATAATACCCTAGGGAGATCCTTCCTTTTTACATACCTCAGTATTCCGTAAATAATTAGCGTCTCCTCGTGTGTTACTATTCCAGGACAATATATACACTTCACGTAATTATTGTGATCTCCATCTAATAGAATCGTGAGCCCGGAATTCTTGATAGAAAAATACTGTAGGCGGAGCCGTAAAACTTGGAAATTAGGATTTTCATATCAAAGCGATTCATGGAGATCAGTTTCCTTCAAGTGATAATGCCTTCAATATAATGCAATCCTGTATATTCTTCCTCTGCATACTATAATGAATGCTGTCCAAAATGAAAAATACTATTATAAGCACGTATATTTCTACTCTTAAGTCCTTATTCATATTTTTATACTTAAAATGCTGTTGTAACTTTCTGATGCATTCTTTGTAATATATTATTACTATCTCTTTCATCTTGTTATAGGATTGATGTTTCCATTTAGTACAAATTTGGGTGGTGTCTCAATTAATTGATCTAGAATTATTATACTTATTGATTATTAAAAGCAGTTTCATTCAGATTTACATAACCCTTCTAGTTCTATGCCATGATTTTCTCCATAGAAGTACAATATGCGTATTCCTTATTTTATTTTTTTCCTGCGCTATATTACTTACAATATATAATGCTCTTGAGCGATTTAATCGAATTCAGTTTGCATATTTGGAGTACCGCATATTTAGTAAAACGATACAGAATGAATACTGCAATATCGTTACTCCCCATATTTTGTCCTTCATATATTGTATTAGATTTCTTAAAGCGCTGATTTATTACTGTTAACATTCATATTTAATTCGATTTAAGTCCCTCATTTCATTCAAAATTTATCTACGTCTTCTATTATTATTACATTTATGTAAGGACAGACTTAATTATTTCTTGAAGGATCCTATATGAATGAATCTCGTGTTACAACGGAAGAGGAGTAATCACTTCTTCATTTCAGTATTAGGCGCACACTTGGCTGACGTCTTGTGCACATTTCGTGGGCAACTGTAGCCACAGAGTTGTTTTGAAAAAACTGCGCTCGTCACTTAGAATCTTATTCTGGCAGTGTATTCCTCCGTTGCACATAACAGATATAAATAAACGAAGTCACTCATATCAGAAAATATAACATAAAGAGGGAAAGAAAAAAAAAAAAAGGAAACCCTCAAATATAATCACAAACATTTGAAAAGGACTCCTTCATAGGACTTAACAGATGAACAAAATCAATAGGGCACTTGAGGAGATACATTATTACAGGGTGCTATGCTGATTACGGTACCCCCCCCCGTTTCCTATGCGCATTATTGGAATTACTCAAAAAATACCTAATCTCCATATAGGAATTATAATGCCAACCCCACAATGCACAGGGACATGTATGTATATATGAATCATTTCAAACTATAGAAGACAATAACGAGGAAGTGCAAATCTGAAATGATGCCACCCCTCTGTAATACTATCCTTTTAGATATGTTCCCACGTGTCCTGTTTCAGAAATACATAACCTAGAGGGAGCTACTGTTTCTCATTACACATAAAGCACTCATTCTAGGAGGAAATATCTTTACCGCGCGATAATATGAATATAAAATTTTCCAGGGAAATGGGATTATAAGAAATTGACGTATGGTAGGAAAACCACCCCTGGAGGTTATCTATTATTCATGGCATCTTTTTACTTCTCTCCTTCCGCGATGGAAGGAATAAACCATACATAAAGAAAACAAAATGGAGAATACGTAAACTTTTCATGGACAATGCACCACACTCCAAATACTCTGTTTTTTATAAATGCTACATCCTCCATGGAATTCATCTCTCTATATCTTGCATATCTTCGTTTTTTCCGTTTTTCTTTATTCCTCATGGTATATCGAAGGCACCTGACTTTCATAAGGAGTTAACTTCCTTGAATAGTCGAAATTAGCTACACACAGATTCCAAGCATGTCTGATTTTAACTGACTTATCTGAGCCATCAATAAGTACTCAAAAACCTTTTCATTCCTATAAAGTGTCACTGAAGCGGTCCCGATAACGTCCTATCGATTTAGGCCTCACCTGAATTCAGCAGAGTACACACACCTGAAACTCCATACTTCTGCATATTATAACCAAATGGAATTGAGACCAGGCTCTCTTGTCTTCCTTTGTGCCATTGACGGACACGTGAAATTTTATCTCGTGGGACTCAGTCCCTGCAACGTCCGGTAGGGACATATGAATCACGTGCACAGCTTCAAAAGGTAGCCTAAGGTCCATAGTTTTCACCATTACAAATTTTAAGTAGACAGAGGAAATAAGATATGACGGAATTATACTCTGCACAGAAAAAATAAAAGTGTGAGGGGGTTAGAAGTTGCCAGAACAACAAGAGGAACCAAGGAAAGAAAAGAAGTACAAGGAACAGAACAGATTCTAACAAAATTGTGATACAAGTGCTGATGAGAAGGATGAGCAAAACCACGATGCCGAGGGGACCTCTCCATTGTGCACCCCTCATGGAGGTGAAGCAGCGGCGGAGAACATCAAATTAATCAGCAGAGGACAACTCCCCAAGGGGGAACATTGCGTAGAAGTGAAAGGCAAAATTATGCGGACACGAAGTGGAAGAAGCGTCTCCCCGATCACTTCGTCGCTACCGCTGTAAGATAGACTACAATCAGAGAGAGAGCAAATTTTGGAAAATTACTAACTTGCGCAGGCCTTACATAATGGGGAGCAACGTTACCTGGAGATGACCACAGATCAAGTGAGAACAGACGCATAACTCTCTATGCAGTTGGAGCTGTGGTTAAATAGAAACCTTCGAGAAGAATTAAGATCAATCAAACAGGAAGACTTTAAAATTACCACTGCTCTGCAAAAGTCTTTTTCACCTGAAGACAGCACAACATGCGATGTGGAAACTTCCAGGGGATAGAACAAGGGGAGGTTGTTTAAGGAAAGATTGAAGCGGAAGCTGCAGAGGATCTTACGCGCGGAGCCCACTCCCAGTGCGTAAAGAGAACAAGTTGCGCGATCAACGCGTAAACTCACTGGGCACAGAAACCCCCCCTTAAAGAAGGAAAATCCGTTCCGTCGTATCCAGACCAAAGCAAGTGATAGGCGTTCTGCCTGTATAGTTTGAAGTGCCTGCCATTTTTTAAGTGTCGGAAGTTCTGACTCCGAAAGAGAAAAGGGATTAAACCGGAAGGTAGTCCACCACCCAGCATTTTCAATTAGTCATGTTTCTGCTTCCGAATTGATGTTGCCCACTCGTACCTGTAGGACACCTGTACGCTTGAATTCATGTGTGTAGGTACGTTCTTTATT